TAAAGAAGGAAAGTTGACCATGGAAAAGCTGGAGTAATCTCGTCTGTCATAAAAAAAAGTAGCTGTTAGTTGGCTTTTAGTCGTCTGTAGTCAGGAAAAACACCTCCAAATGTGAAATAGATGTGGCAGCTTCTGTGTTGTCCTTAATTTGAAGTTCACCTGATATAAGGAGTCGACAAATGAGTGGAAATACCAGAGTTGTAGGTATTTAATATAAATTACATGAATGTATTGTCCTCTACAAAAATTTGAATTTTTCAATTAAAATTTGTAATTTTAATTGAAAAATTCAAAGTTTTATAGAGGACAGTATGCAAAATCTGGTCGTTATGTCTCAAAAAAGTTATTAATGAGTTATTTGCATGTAAATCAAAGAACTGACATATACAAAATGGGTTTTTTATATTCTTACCTGATATATTCCATGCCCCTCGAGGATCTGTAAAGAATTATAAGAAATTTCGCTAATTCATTTCGAAAATCTCATTGATCTCAAAAATCAATATTCGATTAAATTCTTATGAAAGCAAAACTATACTATGAAAATTACTCCGTATTTCACGTGTATTCTACTTGTTTAAAAATGCATTACTTGTAGTATTGAGAATAAAGAGCACTAATACCAAGCCTTACCCTTTATTTAAATGACTTCTTTTCTAACGAACCTGTTATAGAGATCTACTTATTTTAGGTTCAACAATTGACTTGTCTTTGAGACGCCATATTCCATTTCTAAACATCCAGGAAAAGCTATGCATCGCTTTGCAATACAGAAAAGATGGAGGATGGGGTTTGACATCAACAAGCTGTAGCAGAAAATATCCATCACTCTGTCAGTCGGGTAATACATTAGCCATCTGGTAATTAATAAAACACATATCTATAATTGCTTCAGTCAGTTCCATTAAATAAAGGACTTGTCGACGTCATTTAGCTAACTAGTAGCTAACTAGTACAACTGACATCGCCAATTGCAGCAATACATTCAGTGTCTAGCACTGGTCGGTCGGGTATTGCATTTGACAATTTAAATGACAAGAACCTAGCGCTATGTTAGTCTTGCGTTAGAAATAACAGTCTTTGTGTGACAATACCTATCCAACAAGAAAACTGTGATCGGTTGCCCAATTGATATAACATCAGATATCCAGCACGTTCACAGTTGGAGTCTGCTCTTAAAACTGAATGACATGAACAACTGTCATCCTCGCTGTGCCAGGGTTCCTGAACGATGGTGCAGTTCAGTATCGCATCATCGAGTTTTTTTTGTCGATGATCCTATGACACAATGGTTGGCTGACGATAGTGCGACAGAGCTGTGGCGATGGTGCGATGGTACAATAAAGAGATGACGATGATGCGATGATACGATAAAGGAATGATGATAATGTAGTGGACAATAAAGACATGACAATGATGCGATGATACGATAGAGGGAGGACGATGATGCGATGGAGCAATAAAGAGGTGACGATGATGCAATGGTACAATCAAGGGAGGACTATGATGCGATGGCGCAATTAAGTGATGACGATGATGCATTGGTACAATAAAGAGATGACGATGACGCAAAGGTACATTAAAAAGATGACGATGATGCGATGGTACAATAGAGGGAGGACGATGTTTGGATAGTAAAAAAGATAGGACGATGATAAGATGGTTAACTAAAGAGATTACGATAATGTGATGTTAAAATAAAGAGATGACGATGATGCGATGGTAAAATGAAGAGATGACGATGATTTGATGGTACAATAAATAGATGTCGATAGTGTGATGGTACAATAAAGATACGACGAAGATGCGATTGAACAATTAAGGGAGGACGATGGTATCATAAAGAGATTACGATAGTGCGATGGTACAATAAAGAAATGATGATGATGCAATTGTACAATAAAGAGATTAAAGAGATGACAATGATGTGATGGTACAATAAAGAGATGACGATGATACAATGGTACAATAAACAGATTACAATGACGCGATGGTACAATAAAGAGATTAAAGAGATGACGATGATGCAATGGTACAATAATGAGATGACAATTATGCGAAGATCCAGTTAAGAGATGACGATGATGTGATGGTACAATAAAGAGATGAAGATGATGCGACGGTAAAATTAAAGAGATGACAATGATGCGATGGTACAATAAAGATATGTCGATGATGCGATTGAACAATCAAGAAATGACATTATACATTGCCTGCAAGAGCAAAAAAGCAACTTGATAGCAAATGACACGATGGCATTGTTATGATGGAAAGTTATTGCACCATCGACTATTAGTCTTGATGTTGTGATAATAATAGGTGGCCCTATTTGGATTACACATCTTAGAGATCGACTGGCCATCAAATATCTATTGATATGATTATTTTAACAAATTTACGTTAAATACCTTTTTTTTTTGTTTTTTACTGGTGATTGAGCTTATTATTAGAAACAAAGGCATGGAACAAAAATTATTTGTGCTTCATAGGTGTTAAGATCCGTAATAGATTAATTTGTGACTTCCATATCAAGGGATAGATGCTGAGCCAGACATGTACTGTGAAAGCAAAATACAAATACAGTCTACTTTTTTTCAGGACTAAGGTATGCATCGGAAGATATACAAGTAAATGGTCCACCACATTTTCATAATAATACTCACACTCCGACAGATACCACTCAGACTACCCACGTGACTTCAACTAAAGGCGAATCTCCCTACATGGAGACAAAGTGTAAGAAACTTCTACATCATCTTAAGATTTGATATAGATGACTACACATTTTAACTCTCGTCATCATCAAGATGGAAACTAAGCAAAGCCCATAACTTTACTATATGTCTATTATTTTTGTTTTGGTATAACAGTGATGTACTGGGTGTTTGTTCCAGCTGGAGCGGTAATTCTGCTATTTTTATCCATGGTGCTGATTGGTTTTTATATCAAACGATCAAGGTGAGTATATTTATATAATAGTGTTGCATTATGCATGTACTATGCCTAAATAGTAGGCAGGGTTTGACACATGGTGCACGAGCCGGAGGCGAGTGCACTATGTGTCAAACCCTGCCTACTATTTAGGCATAGTACATGCATAATGCAACACTATTGTTATTATTATGCTGACTGTTAATTATTTATGCGGCAGTCTATTTGACTTTTTCCTGAAAATATCGGTGCTTAAACAGCGCACCTGCAAGAACTAATTCAAAATATTCATGCTAAAATTGTTTGCATGCTTAGTTATTTTGGTTACTAGTATTTTCTCTAAATAAGTCGGGATTTTCTGTCCCAAAGCAACACATCTTTATTTTCTGTTTTGTTCGTAAGCCTTATTTGTTTGCAGACGTCGATTCTCATTGATAATTTTCTTTTACATCCTTCAATCAAGCGTCATATAAAAAAGCGTTTTAATGACCCTATAAAATCAGTTCATCTAACGATCTGTATGTAATTAGTTTGAAAGATTGTTGTACACATTAATCTAAAGTTCCTTAGAATAATATAACTGTTTTCAAATAATATTTGTCTATTTTCTCCTTCTTGTGTCAATTGTATAAATTAAGTTTATATATTTCATAAAATTATATCAATCAGTGATCGTCTCTATGGCGTAATCGATAAGGCATCGGACTGACAATCTCATGGTCGTCAGTTCGATCCCCGGCATGTGCATGGAAGAATTTTATTCAGTAAATAAAGCCGTGCACTATTTCGGCATAGTATGCTTACGCTATATAAATCCTTAGACCACTATGCGAGAATAGTAGGGTATGGGTTATATAGAGACAAACTGACAGGAAGCATAATAATTCATAATGTTTGTATATTTTTAAAATATTTTCATAAAAAGTAATGATGGGGCTCTTTTACTTGAATGCCGCATGAGTAGCACGGTATTACAACTCAGGATTTCTGTTTGCACCATAGTATTCAGTTTATCGCATGGTGACTCTTAGGTTGCAGGTTCCAATTTTACAAAGAAAGTATACGATTTTACGCTTTGAGTATTCATCTGTGACGGAGCATTTTATTATGGAAAAGCTGTACATTATAATGCAATTAAAATGGTTATATTTCATAAAGTTAAGGTACTCGAGTATTTTATCCCTAAACGGACATAATTTTCTGCTCTTCATTACCCATCTTATATGAAATTGATTTTAGTTGAAAGATTTTCAAAGTATAATGTATAAAGGATTTACCAAGAGAAAGGTTATAGCATACATTAAAGCATGCTAATCAACGAGGATTGGCTTCAATGAGTTTATGCATATAAGCCGACTAGCAACTCAACTGTGCTGTTTTGGAAAACTGATTTTATTGATAAAAACAAAAGGATCATCGAATCTTGGGTTATTAGCAATAGAATACGTAAAGCTAACTGACAAAATTTTCATCTTTATCATAAAACACTGTTTTCATTTCAGACAAGCCACAATAACAGAAGGAAGTGTCGTTACCAAGACAACAGAAGAAAAAGTCGTTGAACCATTTTATTACATACTTGAAAAGCGTAATCAACAACCAAAAAGTGGGATATACAATAACATATTTCTTGAAAATCATTGTATTTTAAACTATAATCAACTTAATTTCGAGGGGACGCTAAAACAGCTGGTTCAAGACAGTACAAAAGTACTTACAGCAGATGAGAAGAGTACTAGTATACATGAAAATGACTATGACACAATGAGCTGTAAACTACACCAATACGAAAAATTATCGCACGGGAAGATGCAAATATACTGTGTTCAAGGGTTGTACGAAACTATCACGTAAAGTCATTAAAATATTAAAATAACTTTTAACAACTAAATATGCTAATTATAAAATAATCTTGAAAACGTTATTGCATGTCATTAGTTTTACTAGTTGCCCTTTGGTATCAATCTTGATGCTAAAAATAGACCACCAAAACGGCTGTCTACTCATAAGCTATTCAATAACCAAAATGCGAGGCATGTATGAGGTAGTTTTGGACATTGGGTAGGTGTGTGTTAGGACTGTCCAATCAGATTGCAGATCGTCAGATATAATTCGTCCCGCACGGTGTCGAGCGTGTGAATATCATCCACGACAAACACGTGAGTGTGGTCCGGAACTGTCGCCATCTTGTTTAGCTCGGGAATGTCCACGCTTCCAAAACCTAAAGTAAAAATACATGTATAGGCATAGATTGATTTCCTTTGTCTGTTTTACGACCAATATTCGTTAACATTGGCTATAATGAATTTGTCTTTCATTTGCCAGTCTATTATAGATAAATTGGATAAAATATTTAGATAACAATATTGGTACTCCCTATAAAACTACTTCGACATATCCTTAAGGAAGTACATGTATATCAGTGTTTGAGATTTTTCTGAGAATTTCGGTTGTAGTTGAATTTGTCTAATATACATGTTATTATAAGAACATATTACTACATGTATAGATCTGATTTTAAAAAAAATTCTGGTTATTATATTTTATATTGAAATATATATTATGTCTTGATAAAAATATTGTTAATAAAATGATGAAATCTTGACGTTTGAGACAATGTGATTTATATAATGTAGTATAACATACCAATAGAGAATATTTCTATTCCTCTGAGTTTGACCAGCTTTAGGACGTCGTCTAGTTTATATGGATTCGTGGACTGCCCATCTGTCATAATCACACCTGTAATAATTCTCATTTTAAAAAATTGATGTTCCAAAAAAAAAAAAAAAAAGAAATCTGTACTATATCCGGTATCTAGTAGTGCTTTATTACTTCATTTCCTTATACTTTTTATTTCAGCAAGATTTTGTCTGAGGTATAAGTACAGATGAATATTTAATTGACTTTCATTTCAGTTTAATCCCCATTCAATACATGTATTCGAAATTTTGAGTAATCTTCATAAAACATTTTTCATTGAAAAAGTTTATCTGCATATGCATATACTTTAAATTTTATAGAGACGGGTTGCAATCGATAGAACAAGTCAAATGGACTGACAGTTTAAGCTTCGTGTTTCCTCCGCTAATTCATATAAAACTTTGCTTTAACGCTGATAAATATTCAAAAGAAATCTAACTTATGAAGTAATGCCTCTTCAGGCTACCTTGCATAGCAAATTAAAAATAAAGAAGATGGGGGGGATAAGGCGGGCAGAATGCCTATAGCGCAACAGATAAGAAGTGAAAAATTTGTGAAAAATTTACTCTCAATTATATCCAAATTTTATGTCATATTCCATCTAATATTAAAGTATACTTAATGTAAAATTTCTACAATTTACACAAATCTCACAAAGACTGAAAATATTTGCCTATGAAAAAGCATACACAGACTTAAAAGAACAAAAACGGTCACTTTTTCATACTTGAACAAAATGTTTCAATATGAGTGGGTCTTCGCTCCATTTTTGAAAGATAATCCTAAAAGTTTGCGATAAAATAAATATTTTTTTGGTTTTGGAGCGAAGACCCACTATACCTTAAAAGTACACTTTTATGACAAAACATGCGCATCTTTCCGAGAAATACTTCAAGTCCATTAAGTCAAGGGTCATATCACAAACATGATTCAAATGCCCCTAAACTTCATGAGCCGTGTAGCATAGTGGGTAGCGCGTTAGTCTCAAAGCAATCTGATACAAAGGTATTTTGTTACAGGGGTTCGAATCCCACGTATACCATCGAATATTTTTATAAATGAAATTTTTTAAAGATATTTATTTTCTCTCCGAAAATGTTTTTTTTTCCTCATATTTTCATAAATTTCAATAATGATATGTAATTTATATACTCAATTTACATATCAAATGTGATTTCTTGAAATCTGATGCTATAGGCATTCTGCCCGCCTTATCCCCCATCTTCTTTCTTTTACTGCAAAATTTTAAAAATATAATGATTATTCATTTATTCCAGTGAGAGTTGTCTCTCTTAGCAGATGGGTTAATGAACCTTAACCTTAATGAAAGCTACATGTAGGAAATGGTACAGGTGTAACGTATATAGATCGGTCATTGTATTCATTTTACCAGTACCATTAAGTAAGAATTCACTACACACTTTTTATACCCCGAGAAAACTTATAGTTGAAGTGAATCACTTGGAAAGTATGTGCACTTGAAAAGGAATTTACGCTCTTAAAAATATTTAAACGAAGGAATCTACACATATCGTCAACGTCAAACAATGACACATTTACCGACCTTAAAGAATTAAGTTTTAATTTTTTTGTTTCAATTTTTTGTAAGGAAATTCTTGGTTGCATCATAAAATCCAACATCTTTCTTGTTATACGAAAATATAGAAACAGAAAGGTATTTTCGCAAAGGCAAATGTTGGAATATATTCCTAACTCAGACAAAATGCTCTTATAAATAAGTACATGTATTGATTTTTAATGAAATATACCGTAATGAATTCAGAAATTAAACATAGCATCTAAGTGCATTTTTTTTACACAAAACTCGTGAGTGGACGATTTCATTTCTGATATTAAAAAAAATCCCAAAGGTACAAAAAAGTGAATGGTACAAGTTATATAGTTATCTATTTCTGCATCATATAATATTTAAATATTTATCATTAGTCATTACACATGTAAGAGAATGTTGCTCCGCTCACTATACGCATTATATCATCAATATATCTTTAGTATGGTGACTACAAGGCTCTTACCCACACGAGGTACCGTAAGGGGGCGTGGGGAGGCAGAAAATCCCTGATTTAGTAAAATTTCAAACGCCTTATGAGTATACGTATTTCCAAGTGAGAATCTGATATTAAGCAGTGCGTCTTGTAAGCTCCTTTTGTCGTTGTGAGCAGAGAGTCCAAATTCTAGCTGGGCGTCCGTGCTGAAGGATATAACGCCCACCCTCACATCCTGGGCACCCTGTCCAATGTTAAACCCCTCCACGAATCTGGCAATAAAGGAGAGCTCCTTGTCGAAGTTTGCCACGCTTCCGAGACTGGAGGATTTGTCCACAATGAAGAAGATGTCGGCAGGCTTGTTGTTACACCCTACAAGAAAAATATGATAAAGTTAATGTTTACCAAAACTCCACATTTTATCATTGTCAGTTTATTAAAAAAATAAATAATTTTCAATCGAATAGGAATACTAGCACTAAAACAGAATAGTACAAATAAATGGGCGTAATCAAACTAGCTTAGCTAATTAATTATGTTCCCCAAACGAAGTTGGGGAACATATTGTTTTTACTCTGTTTCTTATTAAGGTCTTCCGTCTCCAACGGAAGACCTTCTTGTTTTCGTTCGGTTTCTTTTTCCCTATTAAGGTCTTCCGTCTCCAACGGAAGACCTTCTTGTTTTCGTTCGGTTTCTTTTTCCCTATTATTATTATTATTCTTCCAACCGATTTTGTGCAAGCGATTTCTCAGAGATGGCTCGTCCGATTTCTACCAAACTTTCAGATCTGAAAGATATTCAACTGATCTTGATAGGTTTTTTTCCTTTTTGATTATCTCACTTCCGGTCGTGAGATATGGACGATTTTCTGATTTTCAGAGGGTCGGCTTGTCCGGGAAACTCCTCCGAAACGACTTAAGATATGGACTTGAGATTTTTAGGGAAAATAGAGGAAGGTTTGTTGAGTTGTAATTGGGTCTCCAAATCTTTCTAGCGCAAAAGGCACCGAAGTTCGGTAGGGCCGAAAAAATGTCTCAGAAATATCTCACAAAATTTGACGCATTTTGTCTCATATCTTCACTCCTGTTCATAATTTGTTAAAACATATTGAAGACAAAATATTCAATATTGCAAGACCTTTCATTTGATATAAAAAAAATAGGGCTGACCCTTCAAATTAGGGGCTAAGAGGGGCCAAAAGTTTTTTATCTATAACTCTCTAATGATCAATTCTTTGTTATACATTATT